TTGCTGAGCTTGTGGGAGCTGGGAGGGGGCCAGTGTGGGACTCTCATGCCTACCTATGTGGGGCAGTCTCCAAACCCCGCCAGGTCTCCAACTTGGAAAGTCCTGACTCTTCTCTTTGTCAACCATGATGTTCTGTATAAGAACCCATTTCCCAAATTTCAAAGAAAAAAATAAGGCAGAGCCCCCAGGGGTTGGAGTTGCATACACTTTTTAATGAAAAGAAGTCAGCCTCCTAAGTATTGCTTTTACAGGTTTATCAAAATCAAGTATTCATACCACTCACGTTCTCAGAAAAGTATTTCCAGCCAGGAGAGCAACGTAACTCTCCCCAGCACGATGTCTCAGTTTTGCCAACTTAATGAAGAAGAAGCAACTTGAAATGAAGAAATCAAAACCCTACCCTCAACCTTCAGTAGCTTCCCAGCTGCTTTTCCTTCTGAGTCACTCCCTGAAACAGTTCCCGCATCTAAGACCAGCCTTAGGCTTACCCAGCCGGGCTTATGGCTCAAGTGGCATCCTGTGGCACTGGGAGTCACTTTTGTGTGTGTCGGCGGCTTGAAGTGTCCTCTCCGAAGGTTAAGTGGGGGAAGCAGGTGCAGTTGGGGGTGAAGAGCATGGAAGCAAACTCTGGCTGGGCTCCTGTAAAGACCCATCGTGGCTGCAGAGTCACAAGCCGAGGCCAGGCCATCTGTGGGACGCTGTAGGCCAATGAGGTCTTCAAGTTCCTCTTGGTTTCCCTCTTCTCTGGGGACAGGCACTCAGTTCCAATCTCTCCTTCCACCCTACTGGGTACAGGCAGGAACCTTTCTGTTGGCACAAAGCTTTTGAGGGGAGCAGGCCTAAGAAGAAGGAAAAAGGGCAGTTACTAGCAGAAATAAGGCAAATTCATTAAAAAGAGTTTTGTTTTGTTTTGTGGAGACAGAATCTCACTCTGTCATCCTGGGTAGAGTGTCATGGCATCATAGCTCAAAGCAACCTCCAACTCTTGGGCTTGAGCACTACTCTTGCCTCAGCCTCCCAAATAGCTGGGATTACAGGTGTCCAGCACAACACCCGGCCAATTTTTTTAATTTTTAGTAGAGATGGGGTCTTGCTTTTGCTCAGGCTGGTCTTGAACTCATGAGCTCAAAGCATCTACCCACCTTGGCCTCCCAGAGTGTTGGGATTACAGGTATGAGCCACCACACCTGGCTCAAAAAGTTTTTAATAAAAATTGTAGAAAAATATTTCCAGCCTAAATACGTGGTTTCCAGTGGTTTACGGAATTCAACAGGTGGGGGAAGGCTTACCAGCCTCTAGACTGCAGGATTATTCCAAGTCCCCAGACCCCAGTCAAACTGGGGAACCCAGGCTGGAGAACTAGTGCAATTTCCCACAGGGGAGGAAGAACTATCCTGTCTATTGGGAGGGAGAAGGGTTGCTGGTCCACAGCAAAGGGGTGCAGTCTGCCCAAAGGTTACCCACGGTCTGCTGGCTGCTGTGAGGCTCAAAGGCAGCTGAGCAGAGCTTGGTAGCATCTCCCATCTTGCTTGGAAAATTCTCTGCAACCTATAGGAAGGCTCTGGCCACAGCCAAGCTACTCAGCAGCCTCACGCAGCAACTCTTCCCAGGACATGGCACTGTTTCCAAGGCCTGGCCCCTTGGCAGGTCCCCATTCCCTTCTCTATGTCACCTGGGTGCCAGTGTCTCTGCATACCCAACCCCCTTACAGTTCCCACAAGTCCTGCTCTACTCTGTTCTGAGCCTATCATTCCCAGCTCAGACTGCTCCCTCTGCAAACTTCCCTGAGCATCAAATAGAAACTGTATGCTAACCCATTAACTGCCATGTGAGTTGTATTTAAGTTTTGAGCCTGAGGCCTTAGGAAGCTGTAAAACCTTTCCTTATTTTTTGCTGCTGTCAACTGGCATATCCCTCCTGCCTCCTGTTGCCCTGCTCCAGCTGCCCGCCCAAGCATGCCACAGGTGCTGGGCTGTGTTCTTTGATTACCATAACTTCTTTTTTTTTTTTTTGACACAGAGTCTCATTATGTCACCCTTGGTAGAGTGCCGTGGCATCACAGCTCACAGCAACTTCAAACTCACAGCGATGCCTCAGCCTCCTAACTAGCTGGGACTACAGGGGCCTGCCACAACCCCTGGCTATTGTTTTGGTTGTGTTCGTCACTGTTGTTTAGCAGGCCCGGGCCGAGTTCAAACCTGCCAGCCCCGGTGTATGTGGCCAGCGCCCTTTACCATAACTTCTGATTGTGCATTTCCCCTTAAACAAAATCTATACCATAGTATGTGGCAACGTGACATTTTACACACACTTGGGTATGATTCAGAGGTTGTCATCTAGGACCACTCAAGGTCCACTCCAGATACAACTAAATACTTGTGGAATGACTCAATTCTTAGAAACAAATTCAATTACGTATGTCACATACAAATCACATGAGGTACAATTGATTCAAGCCCTGTGTGAGTTGCATATAACTCACACACAAAATAAAAAATAACAAATTTATCATTAACTTAGAAAGGATCATTTCATTTTGAAGTCTTTATTCTATTTTCATATTAAAACACTGTGGCCCTGGGGCATTCAATGTGTTAAACATGTAAAGTGTATTGTTCAATAGGGCACTATTTTTTTGAAAGAGACACAGTCTTACTATGTTGCCCAGGCTGGACTTGAACCCTATCCTCCTATGTCAGCCTTGAAGTGGTGGGAGTCTCAGGCTGGCTGTACTACAGGTGTACTACAGGTATACTACAAGTATACACTACAGGTGCCCAGCTTGTAACAGGGTGTTATTGACATCTGGGTGAGGACAATTCTTAGATATGGGGGACTATTCTTCTGGCACTGTATGTTTAACAGCATCCTTGTTGCCTGACCATTAAATGTCAGTAGGAACCCCAGTCACCATGATAACTTAAATGCTCCCATCTCCATCTCTAAGGGCCACCTAAGAGAACAGAACTCTCCCACTGAGAACTATGCATCTCTCCATTTGACAGGCAAAGATACTGAGGTTCCGAGAATCCAAGTGATCTGCCTAAAGCTGCATGACTGACTGTGAGAGGTGAAGGTGGCACTGGTTTAGTGATAATGATGGGAATGGTCACACACAGCAGCCACTACTTCCTGAGCTCTTACTGTGTGCCATGAGCCCATAGCAGAGACAGAGGGTATCTCACCATTCCCTCCACTCACTTTGGGCATGCTGACCTGGCACCTTCCACCTGCAGAGCCTGCCTGGGGTCTTCCTCTGCAGGCAGAGCCTTCTTGGCCCCGGGCTGGAAGTGCAGACATAGCTAATGTCTTCCAAGAGCTGCCCAGCACCAGGCTGCTCTTGAGATGCCTGATGTCCTGCAACTGGTAGCAGAATTATTTATTTGGAGTCATCCTCATGAGTACTCACTGTATCAATCACTAAGCCCAGGAGGGGTGTACTTAAGCCCATCTCAGACTTGTGTGGCCAGGGCTTTGGAGAAGATAAAACATCAGCCAGTGAGGAACTCATTCCACCTCAATCCTTGTGACTAAAACAGCAGCCTGAACAAAGTCCCAGCCAGGTTCTGTTTTGGCGGGAGCTACCATCCCACGTGTGCTAACCTCCAGTCTGACCAGACTCTAGCTGAATTATTCTGTTTTCATTGTGGGTATCTGTAGGGTCACCTATTTATGGCATCTGATGCCAGGTTTCCATTTCTGGTGGTTTCTCTCTTTTTAAAACATTTATTTCATTTTAAAAAGAGCTGAGCCAGGCATGACTCACACCTATAATCTCAGCACTTTGGGAGGCAGCAGGATCACTCGAGCCCAGGGGTTTGAGGTTATTGTAAGCTATGATGGCCACTGCACTCTAACCTGGGGAACAGACTTGAGACTGTTCAACTCTGTCTTATAATAAACAAACAATAAAGAAACCAATTTAAAGAAAACAACTGGCCAGGTGCAGTGGCTCAGGCCTGTAAGCCTAGCACTCTGACAAGCCAAGGTGGAAGGATCGCTAAAGCTCAGGAGTTTGAGACCACCCTGAGCAAGAGTAAGATCCTGTCTCCACTAAAAATAGAAAACAATAGCCAGGTATTGTGGCAGGTGTCTATAGTCTCAGCTATTCAGGAAGCTGAGGAAGAAGGATTGCTTGATCCCAGGGGTTTGAGGTTGCTGAGAGCTAGGCTGATGCTATGGCATTCTAGCCTGAGCAACAGAATGAGACTCCGTCTCGGGGGAAAAAAAGAAAAGAAAAGAAAATCAACTAGTTTAATTAATACTAGTTCAGGTGCTAGGGAGATACAGCAAAAACTGATGACCATGTTGTGTAAGGTTTGAGAGACCCTGATCCAAGTGAGTCCCATTGCTGAGAATGAAAGGGCCCAGAAAGGGCAGCGACTTCTGCCCAAAGCCACAGAGTGAGTTGAGGACAGAGATGGGATGCCAGGTTTCTGTGTCTATGGCTAGAGGATGTCCTGGGACACAGGTCAGCTCTCATCAGTCACCCACAGAGCTGTTATGGATCCAATCCTCTCGCTCCTTCAACTTGCAACTAGAGTGTTGGCAAACCTCCAAATGAAAATCGTGACAATACACTTACTAAGCATGTACTTTATATTCACCTGGTACTACTTCAATTCATGTCTTAGCTTTTTTATTCTTCAAAACAACCCTAGGAGGTAGGGCCAAGTAGGACCATTATCCTTGCATTTCAGATGTAGCACAGAGAGGTTAAGTAAGTTGTGCAAAGACACAGCTCATAAACGGCACAGCCAGGATTTGAACCTGTCTGGTCTGACTTCAAAGCCTCAACTCCTCTCAGTACCCTTTTCCTCCCAGGTATGAGGAGTGCCAGGCTGAAAAGCACCCTAGAGATGAGGGTCATAAAATCCATGGCAAGTAGGTTCCCCAGCTTTCTAATACCATTTGAGCATGAGAGACAATTCATTAGCTTTTAACTTCTTTTTTCTTTTCTTTCTGAAACCCTGACCTTTCATTCCCAGTCACTCCCTGGCATTAGGCACAGTGAGTGCCTGATCGGCTTGCTCCTATAGTTGGAAGCACAGTTGGGTACTCCATCTACTTTAAGAAGCAATGTCTCAGCTCAATTTCTCTGCAGAGAAGCTGCCTGGTTCAGAATTTGGCTTAAGTGAGAAAATGGCCCTAGCATCTTACAGGCGCCAGTGGGTGATGCTCTGGGGATTCTTTTCTGCAGTTCAGCTGCCCACTGTCCTACTCCCCTGGGAGTAAGTTCTGAAATTGGCATGTCTGGGCTAATCTCAGCTTGTCCCTTCCTCACTGTATGACCCCAGGCAAGTCACCCAATCTCTCTGGGCCTATTTCCTAATCTGGAATTGGGGACAATGTCCCCTCCATGTGCAGTTAATCTCAGTCAAGGGCCTGGTAATACCCAGTACATGGTGGCTCTGTCCCTCCTTATGCCCACCTGTTCCTAAGTAGAAATCAATAGTCCAGTGAAGCTTTCTCAGGGCCAGGGCCTTCTGAAAACAGCTGCACTTTCCCTGCTCTGAAGACCTTGCCTTCTAGAAACCCACTGCTCATTCCTTTGTGAAGACACTTGGTCCACAATGTGCCTCTGGCAGGTCGCTGCCCAAGACTCTGCGAGACCTTTCAAGGGGTAGCATTTGCCTAACACTTTCATTGAAGTGTGGCCACACCCAAGAACCACCTGGACTATGATTTACTTAAAATTTACCTCACTATCATGAGTACAAACCACCAGCATTTGTCATAATCAGAAGGCAATGCTAAAAATACGGTGAAAATGAAACCATTAATCTAGCATGAAATCCCTGGCCTGCAAACCTGAGCCAGGAGCCAGGCAAAAGGGGAC